ACATTCACTGCGAGTACCCTCTTTGAAAATGGGCACTACTATCGATTTGCCTCAGTTGTTTGGGACGATCTCTTTCTTCCAGATTGACCCAGATAGGTTAGACGGGTACTGGCTGAGGAGCCCACCGCCATCCTTGAAAAGGGCGGGTGGAAGTTCGTCAGGATCAGCAGGACGATGACGCTTGGGTAGAGAAATACACTCTGACACTTCCGAGGCTGAACACGGTTCCATATTTACTATCCACCTCGCTGTTTAAGACCAGGATTCTGGATTGGAGGTAGCAGATGGCCAGCTGGAGGAAGCTGATAGCTTGTGCCGGTGCACTTCGGTAGACGTTTCATGGCTAAAAAGCTGACTGACTTGAGGCAATTATTTGAACAGATGCCATATGATATGATTCTCGGAGCATGTTGCCGGTCGTGACTCATAGACATCTGTGACCCCAGTGCATAGAAGTTCCTCAAAGAACCTAGAGAATCGACAGCACAAATCCATTCAACTCCTTAGAATTTCTCTATCGGTCGATAAAAAATTCGTTCCATGGAATGGAGGAAACGACCGGGACCGTGTAATTTCACATATATGGCGTCATGTATTCGTGTAATCTTAAAAGGAAAATTAATAAAAATTACGAACTGAGCCGGGGAGGGGCTGCAGTATTGTTGTGTCTTGGTGGACGGTCGTGCAATTCTGTTTCGGTCCCTTGGCTTCCTGCTCCGCCCACTATGGTATATCAGAGGGCACAGTTGCTCTACACATCCCTTTATGGAGATAAAAGGAGAATCATTACATCTGTATTTAGATAGTAACCACAGCGTGCTCCACAAGGTCGTGCTAGAATCATCGTAAGGGGGCAAGAATCTTGAGTCAAAGGTGCTCGATCCCGATTGGCTGGCATTCTAACCAATCAGAGAATGGCTTCGTTTAATCAGTGTTCCGCACGTGACAGGTCCGTCCAAATGATGTGATGATCGGCTATTGGGGACGATTGGCCTCCGTTCAAGTTTAGCCCGAACTGATTACTCAGCGACCTGGTGAGAAGGACGAAGTGCTTCCATGGCACCTCTGCTTCTCCAATAGGTCGCACTGCCTGACCGACTGCTACTGGTGATTTGGAAGCCGATGCTTTTGCCACCCTGTACCTTTCGGTTTATTGTGTCGGGCTCGACAAACCACTTTCTGGCGTGCTAACCAGCGCCTACCAAAAAGTTGGACGTGAATGATGGTGGCGTATCTAAACTGCATTTCAAACTTTACCCTCGCTTTTCCCCTGCCCGAGTGAGATGTATCTTTTCTTTCTACGCAAAAACCGCTGACTTCATGACTTCATCCATTTCGCACATCTTTTGCCTGGCGCCAAAATTCCCAATGATCCAACTCCCAGGTTTGTTTGAAACGGTTGAGCACGTTTTCCACGGAGTAAAGGTGTCACCTAAATAATCTGGAATATACCCATAGAGTTCTGACGGGCAAATTAGATAAGGAACTTCTGCGCCCATCTTGCTTGAATAATGGGTCGACTACCATAGTACAGCATGAAGTTCAGACCTGGGGGATAACGGATACAACTTTCAGCCATGTAATCCATAAATACAATAAATAGTCTCAACTCCTTTTGGGAACCGTTATCGATGCTTCAACAAATCCATCAAGAGGCCTCTACATCCGTTTTCTGATATGTTTGCAAGCTTCTCGCTAAGACCTTTTGGAGTTAAAAACCACTGCATGCCTTCCAGAACCATAGGAAGACAGTTTCCGAATTTTAGATAATAGGAACTCTGATGAACTCGAGACGGCGCGATTGTTAAGGCGCGAAATTACTGACCGAAACTTCCTTGGTTAGAACCCAACATCTGCATCTCGACTGCTCCTGTCTAGACTTGAGCAACAGGGCAGTGTGTCAGCCCTCGTGCTTCCTTCGGGTGAAGGACCAAGAGCATGTTACAGCTGAACGATTTTTATCTTCATTTTTTTCTGATGTATGGTTTGTATACTTTTGGCGACAGCGAATTGTAAGTTAACGCCATTTCTGTGCTCTGCTTTGATTGAACTCCAAATAACTCTTCATCCTCGTCCTTTGAAAATGAGGATGTCAACATGGCATTAACCTCCAGGTGAACTGTTTTGTTACGAGAGAGCTTGAAGACCTTGTTGACATTTTACAGAAAACTGTTTACAAACCACTGGTGCCGATCTAACGGCGAAACCAATCTACATATCATCGATTTTAATGCAATGCGGAGAACTGTATGATTGCGTTGGAAACCGGCTGTACTTCGTCCAGAATAATGGAGTGGTTGTGATTTCAGCATATCTTTATAATCTCCTTGGCCACTTGGATTTCGTTCAGATTACTGTTGAGAAATGCCATCATTATCCTATGGTATTTTTTGAAACCTTGCTGTCTGAAATACTCAACTCCCAAATACGTGTCCCGAGGTTCCTTTCTATCGCACCGATCGCTCTGGACGAAGGTCTGACATTGATGTGATTCCCTTTTGGAATTCCAGTTCAAAGACTCATTCTGTTAATTACGTCACGTAATTATTTGTTTCCCTATTCCTCAGGCTAGTTCATCATCCTTCCGTGACTGCTCAATTTTCAAGACTGAACCGTTCTATTTTATACAAAGCCGACTCTACCACAACCATTTCTATAGACGATTTGTTTACGTTTATCCATGGACTTGTTGAAATTTTGTTCCACTTTGAACTGAACAATTTTCCCGCTTAATTTGTCCGATAGCACGCTGCCCTTCGTGTGCCATCCTGTGTTGCTAACTGCCCAAGGTTCAATCTAGCCGTAAGCCTTTCTTTAACTCTCCTCATGATTTACTGTTAATTTCCTGTAGAACCACGGTCTACCTATCTGTACTGTCTGCCCAAGTCCAATTCAATATATTGTTCACTGCCCAATTGCGACTACTGAACAAACGCAGGTGAAGTTCTTAGAATTCGGTTTCGCCGCAATTACTACTGACCGTCCGTTGGTGAATTAGACTACACGTTACCTGTCAGATAGGACACCTAGATCGTGCGTTTAGGCTAAGTAACCTATTCCTTGCTTTGAGATCACGGCCTTAGCACAGGATCGTACAAAGTTGGCTAGAAATACCGTGCGAATTTCAATATCCGGCTACATTAAGACGCGTTATGTCTGTGTCTCGACTGCCTTCTCCGTCTCGTGCATCCACCAGTGGCGCACTGTCCACACAAGAATTGATGAGAGAACTGGCCGTGGCCCGTATAAAGATTAAAAAGTTAGAGCTGGAGGCAGATGCTGCTAAAAGAATCAAGGAATATCAAGACAGTGTTCAACAGGAGATGGAAAAATTAGATGAAATTGCTCGATCCATGAATTCTGGGGGTTTGGAAACTTGTCCTTGTCCTGCAACAAATGAACGATGTGATGCGGTAAGAAGATACGTAAATTCCACACCAGACCCAAAGGACTTGCCAATACCTGTTGAACAAGATACTGTTATCAACCCTCGAAATATCCACTTACGTAATGCTAACACGAGACAAGACGATCGGCTTCTGGAAACCGCTCAGTTGGTGCAAACATGTATGGGACGTCCTGCGCGACAGCTGCCAAAATTTGTCTAAGAACAGACGTACATAAGCTGAAATTGAAAGCGAAAGCATGGTCGATGCGAAACAACAACATGAACACAGATGATGGTCACGTCAGACACCCATCTTCAATTGGCCAATTGATCGAATCAACTGAAGCAGTTCGTCGCTGTTGTCTGGGCCTTCAGAATCCTCTGTGATGCTTCAAGATTCAGGTCATGCAGCGTCCGAGGGATCTGCGCAGGTTATTGTAGTTGTCAGGTCACGGAATAGCTTTTCTCCCAGCAATATGATCTGCTTTTCTGGACGCTATGCAGTCTTGTTTCCTCAAGTTACGATTTGAGGTAGGTGGTAGAAACGGCATTTTATATCACCCATATGTGATTGGCATGTGCACTGAAGTTACACATCGGAGAAAGTGCTTACTCATTTTTCCGTCGAAGTAGTTTTGGTCAAGTTTCTCATATGTGCGTAGCACTGACTTTGCCAGGTTCCCTGTATTTTGCGTACAACCGTCACTTTTTAGGCTAATGGGGACGAGTTCCGTACCGGAGCCATCAGCGAAAGCACTATGTGTTATAGTTACACAGGACACTGCCGAAGAGTAAGGCTCTGACACGTATGCACCTGCACATGTGCTCGTTCGGTTGGCCTCACTGTTCTGTTTCGTGGGGTGTGGGGAATAGGTTTCAGTTATGTGGCAGTAATAAGAGAGCCATCCTGCAGTTGTTTCACCAGCTGATAGCAAAACGCAGGTCAACACAAGCACTCAATGATGGCGGGCAGTTAATCAACGAGGCCGAATCGACCAGAAAAGATTGCTTTGTCATTGCAAGGAGGATTCTGCTTGACAAATTTCTGAACGTGAAATATTTCCTCCCTGCAACTATTCTCAGAGATTCCTTCCTTCCAAGCTCATGCCATTGGTGGCCGCACAAAGTGCCACAGTCCGCGGCATCATGGCATCGTCTTATTCGCCTACGACAGTTGCGTGTGCTGAAATAGCACGCATCAAGTGGAAGTTTTCAAAACAAGGTTTTCATGCAACCAGTAGATGCTTGCTGTCTTACCCACTAGATCATCAACTCTTAAATTTGTAGTCTCTGTGCTTGAACAATATGTTGTTTGTTCGAACTCCACTTTCCGAGAATATTTCTCTTCATCCACGTATGCACTTTTCTTTTTGTCTTTACTGAGGGACACCTGATTGTGGAAATATACCCCCAGCGCGTGATTGTTAGTCGCCGGTACAATATATGGCGCGAAGTAATAGTGGCTTCTGATTCATTGATTAACGTCTTACAGTGGTTTAACGACTATAACATCTACCTACTGTTTCCTTTAGACATGATTTTATGACATCCCGGATGCAAAGTCGTCCTAGGGGAACTAAATACAGTTGATCGCTCGCCAACGTCCAAATTAATGAATGAGCTCACCATTTCGGATTCCAACAGCGGCAAACAAGTTCATCCGTATCGATGGGGTGTTATTTCTGGATGTGGACTAACAGTCGCTTGTGTGACGTACACGCTATCGGCATTTATTGCTCCAGCCTTCCGGCGTGTCTGCCTACCGTTTGTTCCAGCTACGCCTGTTCAGCTGGATAATATTGCAAAAATTCTACTTGCCCAACGTAAGTCAGCCTGTAGCTCCACTTTGGGCCCCATAGTGGATTTGGGCAGCGGTGATGGACGTGTGGTATGTCTTTTTCCCTAAGTCGCTCATATGTTGCCTTGTAGTTGATCAACCTCATGCAACGTAAAGACCTGGGTTTTACCCGGGGAGTTGGGGTTGAATTGAACCGTCCGCTGATCTGGTATTCCCGTTGGAATGCTTATCGTGCGGGTATGGGCCGCCCATTGCTGAAATTTCGTTGTTGTGACATGTGGAAAGTAGATTTATCGGAGTTTCAAACTGTTGTCGTGTTCGGTGTAGATTCAATGGTGAGTTTATTTCAACCCATCAAGTGACAAATTTTGGAGTGAAGTCGTTGGGTGCGTCATGTGTTGGTTTGACCGATCAAACCTCCTGTCCATTCGACTGGTTGTTGAAACCCTTTGTCACCCGGCATTCTGCAAAGGTTTCACTGCCCATCATTAAAAGCACCACTGTCAGTGCGTGTCTCAACCATATATTACTCTTCCATATGCACAGTTGGTATGTCGCGTTGCAGAAAAAAATGACTGACGACCTCTGCATGTTCTCTTGTAGATGGGTGAACTGGAAAACAAGCTGCGACAGGAGCTGAAACCCAATACCTTTGTGGTCGCCAGCCGTTTCCCGCTGCCATCTTTGCCTTGCGCGGACTCAATCGAGGCCGGTCCCGATTCTGTGTATTTTTATCGCTTCTGATTTCCCGGTGATCACAAAAAACTAAAATCTACCCAACACTCCAGCCCATAGAAACTTTTATTGAGCACACATGTACTTTTTCTCATTTTTTGAATATAAGGTGTGCACCTGTGACGGATAATGATTTGTTCTATAGTCCCTCAAACCTCTGAGGCAGTTCAACTTCGTCGTAGCGGCACTGTGTTCTGTAAAAAATGCCGATTGTCGAGGACGCCGGTATCGTGTATGCAAGTTAGCTTGCCTGTCCAATCAGTCAATAATCCTTCAACACTTTGAACAGAAGGCGAAAGGTTAATGATAAAATCAACTCTCAGTAACAAAATAATTCTTTTAAAATTTATTTGAAAGTTCCTGCGTCTATTTAAGTCAGACAGTGGAGCTTGAGCAACTGGTCGGCAAAGGGTTGTAGTCCGAAACTTCAGGCAACCTTACCAGGGTTTCAACCGCTCTATAGGGGTTTAGTTGTATAATCTTTCAGTTTTGATTTTCCTCATCATCATCTATGTTAATAATAGGGTCTTCAACCGACCTATATCGTGCCACTTCCCCAAACAAAATGGAGATAACGACCTCCGTTTGAGTCTCCCGGTCGGAGCTGTGCATCTTGCGAAGTTATGCAATTCAGCATTACCGATTCAATGCTCCGATGGTCAAAGACAAGCAATCTTTTTTCTTCACTATACAGTGGTTGGGCTTAATGGGCGTGAAACAACACTGGGCGAACTACTTCATTATAGACTGGTTTTTGTTGACAGGCTAACATCGCGTAATCCGTGGAGAGTCCTAAATTGAAGGAAAGCAGAACGAGCTTAAGCTATTCTGGCATTCATTTCATTAGTACTACTGTCATCCGACTGATGGGACCATCCAAATAGGTGAGTTTATCCACTATCTCTAGTGGTTTTGGTTCTGCGACCAGGTTTGGTGATGCACTCGCTCAATCCTGTAACAGCACTGTACTGTTTGAAGGCTCGGAACAACATTTCGATTGTGTGGTTTATTTTGTTTCTGAGTGAAATATGAACCAAGTAGCGTAATATTGTCCGCATACTTCATGCCCGAATACTCTGGGTCTTTCCCAGCGGCTCCAAACCAGAGGTAGAAGATGAACGTTTCTTCGATACTTTTTTCGTCTACAAGGTTGAACAGGAAAGCTGATAAGGGGCAAGCCTAGCGGATATCACTTCTCCTAAACTCACATACCCTTAGGTATTGGATCGTATTGTGACGAAAGTTTTTGGATTGCTCCGAACCTGGTTTCGACCGTATTTAGATGGATTATCAGAGTGGTGTCTTGTTTGCGTGTTTCGGGGACACGGGACACATTGATTTTTAAACGGGAGATATGAGCAAGGGGATTTGTTGGCTTGTCTGATAACCCTGCTGCATTGGTCTCAGAAGCGCATGCTTAAATTGTGTTTCTTCGGGTAGAGGGGCAGGAATGGACACTGTATTCATGGAGCTACAAGGTGGCAGGCCTGTTGGCACGGGTGTTAATTAGATTTGGGTTGAAAAACCAAGGGCCTAGGTGCTGTTCCTACACTGCGTGGGCAGTTGCTATTTTCCAGTTGCTTAGACCTATGAAGGAGTTTAGTTTCAAGCATTTGACTTTGAGCATTCGATTCAAAGGTCACCCAAAAGGCACTGGCAGAAGGTTTCGTTCCGCGTCCCTACCCGCAGCTTCTGACTCAACAATCTGAACTGCAAGGCAACAGTTGGCAAGGTTTTACTGGGAACCCTACCCTTAGCCAATGACCCAATTGACTAAATTGCCTTGCTCGAGAGTATAACTCCCTGAATCCTACTGTGACTGCGCACGCCAGTTGCCTTCCGAACAGCACCAGACTATTTTTAGAAGTATTTCGGTCATATCGTATAATGCGTCGACGGTTACGATCAACGGTTGAGTGGCCTTAGTGTGCAGTTTTAGGAGCCAATCTTTTCCCCCACCTTTCCTCGGGGAAAGCAATATCGCTGCTTCTATAAATGTGAACATGCTGGTCGACTGGAAGAAACGTCCTACTGCCTTCACACCTGTGGCGGAAGACGTTATCTCAGACAGCTTCGTGGTACGACTACTAGCAGTATGGGGACTTGTATATGTTTTTCTGGTTGCTCACCTTTGGCCTTTAGCATGGGTAAACCTTGTGGCACGAATTCCCAGCCATTTTGACTCGTATCACAACACTCAAGCCCGACCTCCACGTCATACTGACAACTATTGATTTGGAATGCCGGATGCTGTTATAGGAAGGTTGCTTTAGTTTCAATGGCTAACAGCTGTCTTTATTTTTTTCCTCGACTTAAATGCAGATGTTTTGGAGAATGTCTGATATCGACCTTATGTGCGACAACAAACGTGTTCACTCCGATTGACTTATTCCAGGAACTCATGTCGTACATGCTTTTTCTTCAGTGGCAGCACACTGTGTTCACAAGTTTATAATGACTCAGCAGGCTCAACTGAGCTCTTCGCCACATTGGAAACCACACCACCCCGGAACTCTAGTGATGCAGTGTCGCTACTCCTGAAAGCAGTGGAACGTGGTCTATAGTGTTCCGGAAATTTGGCTGAGTGGTCTGAAAACTGAACTGCCTGCATTGTTCTCACTATCGGCTGGACAGCTAAGATATACTACATAGGACGTCAAAGGTTGGTGTTCGCATCCTGAGATAGGTTTGTTATTCCGGGGCAATGTGTTCGTACGATGGACTTACATGTTTGAAACAGTTCCGAAAAGCACAACTTTCATTACTCACTGACAGCGGTGTGTTGCCCAGGCCGGATGTTCTCATACTTCCTGAATCAGCATGGTATACGGTAGTCCGCTGTGTACGAAGTGGTATGTAAGCACAAGCGGTAACTGCTGCACAGCAGCGCACTTACACTTCAACTAATTTGTTTTCGCTGATCAACATAAATGTTTTCTAGGAATGGCATTACTGAGAACGCCTGACCGACTGATCGTTCAGCTGTAGCACCCTTTCGGTGCCTAACTGCCACGTCAACCGAAGGAAGCACGAGGGCCGGGATACTGCCAGGTTGCCCAAGCCTAGACAGGGAAAATCGAGAGGCAGGGGTCAGGTTCGAACCATGGGCCTTCCGGTCAGTAAATTCTCTAACTACTGGGCCCACCTGGTATGTACTAACCGTCCTTCTCCACGGGCGGCCTTAATCGGAGGGCACTGTTTTGTTGGGAGACGTGCGTTAACGTTTCCTAAATGCGGTACATTAAGGTTGCAGTACTATGCTTGAACGTAAAGGGACAGATGTCTGTCACCTAAATTGGTCTTGTTACGCTATCGCACTCAGTCCAACAGCTTTTAAATTGAGTGCCTTTGTGTCGATCGGCCTCCTCCGGTCTACAACGATGTCCACAAAATATTTGTTTTGTTCATCCATACACGAACATTCAACAAGTCGGCCAAAACCATTGAGGAGATGCAAACATGAATTTTCTGAACAAAGCAATTCAAACTACGAGATTTACAATGTTTTTTTCGTTGGTTCATCATTCAGTTATCCCTATTATTTTGTTCCGTTGCTTACGCCAGCGGTGAATGTAGTATATCCACAAGAGAATAAGTGCAATGTGAATGAGTACAGCATAAATCCACAGGGTCATGAACAGCAAATCTTCTGCTCTGGGCCAGTTGACAGCCTGCAGGTCCCCATGACGAAGTGAAGTGGGCAAGTTGAGAAACGGCGCGTCTTCTAGGCCAACTGTGCTCCAATCGTCCACTGCTTCGATGCTCAGCAATTGCTCTCCCAATATTTTTTCGCTGATGGATGTTTGTATTTGTTTCCCGGAAAGCTCACATAGTTCAGCTGATTTTTTCAGTCTCTCTCGTTTCAAACTGGTGATCCCGGTGAATGATGCTGGACTACCCTGAAAAAAATACGAGGATTATTCTGTCAATGCTTTAGAACAAGTTTTCGAGTTTTTAAATAACAACTTCCAATGCTTATTTGTTTTAAGTGTGAATGAAATTCAACAGTCTTCTGTACAGATATGCCTCTTATCATTCAGTCTGAGGACCATAAAGATCTGTTAGAATGACAGACCCATTTTTCGTTTGTGTCTAACTGAGTTACATTTTAATATCATACGAAAGGTGATAGAAAGTGATTCTTTTTTGGAGAGAACCTTAATAGAAGAGGTTATTGTCTGCTTCCATTCTAGTCCTTACAGCATTGTCACAACAGAGCAACCCCAATAAAAATTGAATTTAGGCAAATACTGAATGGTTTTGATCTCTCAGACTATCCAAACATAGCAAATATTGTCCGGATAAGTGATAAAATTTTGTTTAACTGACCAGTTGGATGATATCACAATCAGTCCAGGGCATTTGGTTGATTCCATTCGGCACAGAATGAAGGATGCCCTTGCGAATATGGAAAAGCACTTTGACTTCTCACTTTAGGTCTGAGTTCACAAATAAAAACAGTCACTCAAGTTCAGAAGTGACCGGATAATTGCTGGACTAACCTTCGTCAAGTTGATGAATCAGGAATGCTGAATACCCATTGGAAGAAATTCTCCACACATCTGAATTACCCTAGAGAGGAATCACTGTATGCTACCCTAAATGTTTTCTGTGTCGCATCCATTTGGCTAAGTCTACTTGATCTGGTGGATGGATAAAAACAGGAGATACCAGCATAAACCATTTATAGTCTGCCTTCGGTTGTAGAGTAAGACTTAAGAAGTGTGACCTCGTTTAAATGGCCTTCATTTGGCAGAGTTGCCGCATCCACCACTCCAGTATGTAGTAGTCACTCCGGAGATCAACGTCATTTGGGACCGATTGTTTTATTGCTAAGTTGGAAATCCCCAAAAGCTATACTCTGGTTGCCTTTTCCTGGTGGACATCAGAGTAGTTTCCAAACTGAGACTACCAGTGGCGTCTTATGTTAGGAGGTCTGTCCACTAGAATATGCGTACCACAGACGCCCAGCGAAAAACGCACTTTTCTTGGATGGGTGGAAATTTGCAAACTACCCGTGAGTTTACACCTGCCTGTACTCTAGGGTAGACCTTTCGCTTTTAGAGCACCCATTACAGGTGTCTTGTGAGGAATGGTTTTTCCCCTATAAGAAAAGTCTCCTTTGATGAAGTTTTTGCCGTGGATCATCATTCAAAGTGTTGTCATTATGTGATATTCTTCTGGAATCACATTTCTCACTACGAAATGTGGGTTTATTTGGCTTTCCGAGCTCCGAAAGGTAACTAATAGTGGTGTTATTTCGTCCCGCGCTATAAAAGTATGCCCATGAAAGTTTTAGCGGCAGATATTGTTTCAACTTTCTAGTAGCCTCTCCGATGCCGTGTAAATGTGAACGAAATCCCGTGATTCGTTCAGTGTGGCCAAACGGGCTGAGAGATAAGATCAGCTCAAAAGTGATTGGGGTCAATGGTACAGCATTTGGGCGACTTTAGGGTCATTTCCTTGTGACTTTTGATCACAACTGGTCTGAGGTATTTTGAAATCCTTATCCAATGTTTTAGATTCGTGAGGTGAAGGTGTGACCTCTAAACCATCTACTTTTATTCGATATGATTCAACAAATCTCCAGCAGTATACCATGAGCAAGATATGGAGTGCGGCTCCAACACTGCTATCC